ATAAATGTTCAAACGAAGGAAAGACTCAAACAATACTTGAGCAAAAAGATATTTTTATTTACAATAACATGCCAAAATGGCACATATACAAGAATTGGAAAAAGAAAAGAAAAGCTAAACTACAGCATCTCCGGAAACCGGAGGAGGACAAGTGTACGCGCCCCCAGGGGAAGTGGATAGATACGTCAATGTCTCAACATTTTGGCCTTCGCCAGTTTGGCCTTCAACATTTTCATCTTCTGCTTCCTCTTCAGTTACCGAAGTTTCGGAACCGGAAGCAGCAGGCTCTGCCAGGAGATTGTTTTTAGCAGCCAACTCAAGCTCATGGGCTTTAGCAATTTTAGCATCAAAGTCAATGATACTAGCTTTGTCCTCTTCCAAGGTTTTTCTCCTCATGCTGTACATAACGTAAGATTTCTCAACGACGAGGGAAGACGCTCGGCGCTTAAGTTATTCTTTGAGTTGGGTTATCTCGGCAGAAAGGCTTTCCCGGGAGGATCTAATGGATCTGAGGATAACATCAAGGTCCCGGACAGTTGAACTAAAGAGCCTCTTATGCTCAATAGTTTTCCTATACTTCTCCTCCAGTTGGGCATGTTTTGCCCCTGCAGTAGCAATCTCTTCAGTATTGGAGTTTAAGGCTGCCTCTAAGTTAGTCAATCTTTTAGCAGAGGCAGCCTCACGATCGGATGCAGCAAAAACGACTTTATAAACTTCAACCCATATGGCCTTAGCCTCTTCAAATTGAACCCTAAATGGGGCAATCTATCGGCTAAGGGTCTCCACTTCTTGCTCGATTTGCTGCAAACAAGCCTCCAATATAGCGGCCTCAGTGGCTTTGGCTTCTAATTCTGAGAGGCGAGCGACACTTTGCTCTCGCTCTGCCAAAAGTTGATCCCGTGAGTAGGTAATTTCTTCCTTCTCACGAATTAACCTCTGAAGGCCCTCGAAAGCAAGAAAGTTGGCCTACAAAGCAAGAAAGTCAAAACTCAGGATATGTTCAGGCAAAAATAGAAGAAATAACAAATGAAGAAAGGAATGTACCGATGCGGTGTTGTGCATGGAGTTGTTCAACAAACACTCTCCTGAGAGTGCCTGAATCTTTTTCCATTCTTTCTCTGAATCCAAAGGCTTCAGATAATTAGCAAGCTCCATCGGCCGAGATAGCAAGTTGCATCCGGTAGAGACCGAAAGAGTAACATTCCTCCTTCTTTGTGTATCTTTAGAAGGGGCAGCATAATTTTTCCCCAAATTCCCATGAACTGGGGATTAGGGAAGAGGAACACCTTCTTCGTGGTCAGGTGCGATCAGTGGAGATGGTGTAGTAATTGCTGGTGGAAGAGTGGATAAAGGTGAAAATGATGTAGCAGTTGCTGGGGTTGGTGAAGAGGGAGATGAAGCTGATGGAGTTGAAGAGTAAGAAGCAGCTGCAACAAACACAGTGCTGGTTGTTGGTTGCTCGTTAGCCAAGGACGGAAGGGACCCGGTACTCAGCCCCAAAATACCGGGAGAGGCGACTGGGACATGGAAGCGGGAGTTGGCATTTTCCACCATATCGTATTCCCCCAGAGCGCCGAGACATCGTCCTCAGATGGTGTAACTAACTCAATAGGGTGAGCATTCTATTGAGTTGATGAGGATCGTTGCTTTCTATGTAGAGAAGCTCCCCCATCACTAGCTTATCCATCATCGTCGATCATCACAGTGTCTATGACCAGCACGGGAGGAGGGCTAGTCACTACAATTACCGAAGATGACTCGGGGGCAGTAGTCTTCGCCCTCTTATTCTTCTCCTTGGCCGTGGAGGAGTGTCTTTTTTTTGGTTGTTTGTCCTCCGGACGGGGACTCCATAAGGAAAAACTTATGCCCGAAGTAGGACTAGAGACACATGTTCGAGTAAGCACCTCCTGAAGCAGCCTTGCCGCGTCAGCAAGATCAACCAAAATGTCCTCCTCGGGGACAACAACAGCGCTCGCGGGTAGACCTGATTTCAGAGAAAAGATAGAAAGGATCAATTAATTTCTTCACATAAAAAACTGAAACAAGGTGAGTCTAAGTTACCATGGTTTTTGGCCTTCCACCCATATTTAAGGGCCAATTCTTTTCACGTGCGGGATTCAAGCGTAGTGATATCCAAGATCTTCTATACCCACTGGTCCAAGCCTTCAACCATCGGTGGGACCTATCGACTTGCTGAAACAGGCGAAAGATGGAGGATCAATACGGGTATGGAAGAATACCTAATAAAAGAAATATTAAACAAGGTGCTTACGAGTGCGGTTCCATGCTTTCGGAAAGGATGAAGCCGTTGCCAGAATAATGTCGTTGATGGCAACCGTAACGAACTGTTCCATCCACTTATGGTCATTGTCATCATCCATGCTAGATAACAGAGCATGGTGGCCACGTTTGCTGAAATTTATCATTCCCCCACGGAAGATTTTGGGGGAATAAAGATTCATCACATGAGCTAAAGATAGCTTCTCTCCCGTCTCTTGGCACAAGCGCTGGAGACAGGCAATCGTCCTCCACACAGAAGGACTTACTTATGCCAAACATACCTGATAGCGGGGACAGATATCTGCAATAATGGAGTTAAACTCTCCACTCAAAGAGAACGCACCCAAAGTAAAGGGATACGTGTAAAAATATGTAAATCCTCCTTGGGTAGGGTCACTCTCTCCGATAGATCAGGAGTAACAATATCCAAATCATGGTAGCGACAGTCTTCCTTCACAATAGGAATACTGGAAGAACGGATGGAAGAAGGATATCTGCCAATAACCCATATGCGAGGGAGAGCCAAAGGGAATTTCTCTTCGAAGTCTTTTGTTGTAACAAGACTTATAGGAATGATGGAATCCACTATTGGAGGAGCAGCATCTCGGCTTTGTTCTTTCCCTTTGAAGAGATAACGTTCTTTGAAGAAGAAGCCATTTGGATGAAAGAAAGATTTTTTGTTTGAAGGGAGTTAAATAAAGGTTTATTAACATCAAGAAATATTTTAGAAAAGCTTGGAAAATTATAGAGTATAAGGGAAGAAGGTTGATGCGTATAAGTAAAAATTTTGGCGGCTAAATTCATGGCCATGATAACCTCGATAATCGGCAAAAGTTATATTGAATCATGGGATGACGCGTATTCGAGGCATTAAATGCGGAGAGACGTGCGTCTAATCAATCGTCAGAAGCCTTCAGAGGGGATCATAGTAATTCCCACCAAAAGAGTGTTTTTACCAACTACCCGGTGACACAAAGTTATGTCACCGGAAAGTAGGGAGACTATCTGTATAGGGTAAAATATGCAATGCTACGTGGCCGCCCAAAAGAGGGATACGTGGAACCTAAGACAAGGGATAGCCAAAATCGAAGGCAACGGTCTCGTCTGTCACCGGAAAGAATAACGCTCATAATGATATAATCCCGGTAATATTTAATGGAGAATATTTCACAATATTAAGTACGTTGCCCATTACAAGGAATTTGATATTTATGCTCACCGGTACATCTTCATCAATGGCCCTCATAATTGACATTAAAGAAAGGCACGATCCTAGGACCTCCTTTCCTAGACGTAATTATAAATAGTGAGTTCTGTTATCATTGTAAGGACATGAATTTTCTTGAAAACTAACACTACAATTTACTCAAAACTCTAATCAATTTTACCTTCTTATTTTCTGTTCTTGTTCTTATTATTGTTGCGCCCAGAGGCTTCACTACCAGAGTCTTTATTTCTGTCATTTTGTCTTCCTATCAAGGCTAAGTGTTATATATTTCTTCAAATATCTTGTTATTTCAGGATGAAATTAATTCACTTGTCTAGAAACCACGTATAAATTCAACTGTACCATTTTACGGGTAAACATCAGGGAAGCAGTAACAACAACAACAAGAAAGTAAAACAACCAAAACACAAGCAACATCAAGTAGCAATAGAATTTTAAGAATATGGAGATACTAGAGTAACGCTACTCCTACTGAATTAAAAGAAAGACGCATAACTGCACCTTTTACTCTAATCCTCGCCCTCCATACCTGCCTATCAAGGATCATATATTCGGTAAGCCAAAAATGGATTAAGTCCAATCTAATCACCTCTCCCAAGGAAAGTATTTGTTTTAAGAGTTAAGCTTAGAGTTAATAAATTCATTATTAAAAGGATTAGACCAATTACACCACCACCTAAAAACAAATAATCGTCTTTTAAAAGTATATCATCAACAATATATTAACAAAATACGGACAATGTCAAGTAATCATATTAATTCTGGACCATAACAAAGTTAAAAATATGATGTTAGTCAATTATTTTATTAGATTACTGGTATCTGTCAAATGATGAAATCATCATTTTTTTAATTTGACCAACTTATAACTTTGATTGTCAACCTATAAAAATAATATTGTGTTGGCTGCTAAAATATCTGTTCTACAGATTTATTTAGAATGACACGTATTGATTATTTGTTAATATTTTTCTGTAACAAACCAATGTGGTAACAAATGGCAAGTAACAGTTTTAAACAATTTTGTTTGCAAATTGCAACTACTACAAATTCCATACGCTCCTTTTCAACATAATTGTGCTAAACAAATGGTAAGATAGCATCTTTCTTGGTAATATAAAACAAACATTCATCGATTAATATATTAGAATTTAGAGAAGTTTTGTATGAAATTTTTTTCTTGTGTATTTCATTAGGAAACTGTGCACCTATATATACAAAGCTAAGAATAAAATCTGTTTTGCACCTAGCACGTGTCCTACTGCTATTCCCTAAAATATAACTAACTAATGGAATCAAAGAATATACAAGAAATTTTCTATACACGTATTCACCATACATGGTAAAAGAAAGTTCCAAAATTGTTATCCTTTACTTGCCAGCTGTCCTCTTTTATCCAAAATCAATGGTCTTGATTTAATCTCTGTGAAACTTGATGGATGGTTCAGATTAGCTTTAACCTTTGGAGATAAAATTGTCTGAAGCTTATTGTTTGTATTGACATTTAGGTTTAGTTCAGTTTGTCTATCTTCCTCCCTCAAGTAGGAGGGAGGCGAAGACACACCCAACTTGCCAATAATAGATCAATGAGCCTGTCCTGACAAAGGCTTGGTAAAGATGTTGGCAATTTGGAGACGCGAAGGAAGATAAGACAGAGAAATAATGCCGGCGAGAAACTGTTGTCGGACAAAATGGCAATCCAGCTCCATGTGCTTAGTACGCTCATGAAATACTAGATTCTTTGCAATGTGAATCGCCGCTTGGCTATCAGAGTGAAGAGTCACTGGCAAAGATGGCGTAATAGACAAATCTTCAAATAATCGAACCAACTAGGTAATTTCTGCTACTACCCTTCTCATCGAACGATATTCTGCTTCAGCGGACGATAAAGAAACTAAGGTTGTTTCTTTGACTTCTAGGAAATCGGTGAACCCCCAAAATTGATGTAGAATCCACTGATTGAATGACGTGATTCTGGGCAAGAACCCCAATCGGAATTGCAAAAGGCAACAAGAGGCAAAGATGGAACGGAATTCATGAAAATCCCCAAACTTGGGTCCACAAGAAGATACCTCAAACAATGAAAAGCTGCATCCAAATGAGGTTGTCGAGGAGCCTGCATGTATTGGCTCAGGTGCTGAACTGCGAAAGACAGATCATGATGTGTATGAATTAGGAAATTCAACTTTTCTAAGAGTCAGCGGAAGAAAATAGGATCTAATATCAGTTCTCATTCATCAGCCCTAAGCTTACGGGTGGGATCAATGGGCGAGGAAGTAGGCTTCAAATCAAGACATCCAAACTCAGTCAATATAAAGCGTTTCTGAGTCAAAATTAATCCCAGCGGATCACGTATAATTTTCATGCCTAAGAAATAGTGAGTATGCCCAAATCCTTGATTTTAAATTCAGCATGAAGAAATTCCTTTAGCTGAACTTGTTCAATTGGATCATCCCCTATAATTAGAATGTCATCCACATATACTGTGATGAGAATAATCTTCCCATCTGATTTAAAGTTCAAAGCTGCAGTTAGCCTGACATACCACTGTTTTGAGGCTTGCCGCAGTTCATAAAGTGACTTCCTTAAAAGACAGACATGATTAGGGGAAGGTGGTGATATTCCTGGTGGAAACTTCATAAACACTTCTTCCTGCAAATCACCATGCAGGAAGGCATTATTGACGTCTAGTTGAAATAAATCCCATCCTTTCTTGACTGCTATTGCAAGATTACACCTAATAATTGTCATCTTAACCACCGGTGAAAAAGTCTCCATGAAATAAATTTCTTCTCTTTGTGTGTCTCCTCTAATGACCAAACGAGCTTTGAACCTTTCTAAAGAACCATCAGATTTATATTTTACCTTGTAAATTCATTTACAAGGTAGAGCCCCTTCCCTGTAGGCAAAGGAATAAAATCGCAACTCTTATTTGCCTCAAATTCTTTAGCCATAGCCTCCTACCAACCTGGGTGAAGTGATACTTAAGAGTAGAATATTGGCTCAGATATATATGAAATAGATTTGAGCATGATTTGATTTGTGGGAGAAAGAGCACAAAAAGGCAATACAATTGATTTAATAGGTGCAAAGAAACAAGAATCAGTAAGGTTAGTAAGAAAAACATAATTGCATACATAATTATTAAGATAAACATGGGGTCTTATTTGTTCTGATAAATTTTCTGATTTCAGGTAACAGAAGACAAACAATATTCAGAAGAGGTGAATGAGAATGAGTAATTGAGATATGTGACGTAGGATAGATAAGAGAACTTCTAGCAAATGGTATTGGTGACTGGGAGTAGATAGTTGAAAGTGGTGAATAAGAACCATGCATGGTGAACCCCTAGCAATAGAGTCATGGTTGGAAAAAGTGGTAGTAGGTGAAGAAGGAAACTCAGAAATAGGAACTCCATGCTGAGAAGGCAATGTAGGAAAAAGAGGTTGATTTCTCACTTTAGAAAAAAAAGGAAAAATGAATTCATGAAATTTAACATCACTAGAAACAAAAAGTTTCATGTTTTGTAAATTTAAAAACTTGTAACCCTTCTTCCCAAAAGAATATAAAGACACAAGGGACTGACCTTGGGTCAAGTTTACTTATGTGATGTGGTAAAGTGCTAGCATAGACAAGGCAACCAAAACTCTTAAGAGAGTGATACTGTAACACCCAGGAAAATTTTGAAGAATTTAAGTGTAAAGTCCGGTAAAATTTGCAAAGAAAATATTGTTTCATGGTGCCGGACCTTTTGGGTTGAACAATGCACGGAAAAGTAAAGAAATATTTTTGGCGGAAAAGTGTATTTCTACGGTCCATTATGCGACCGCAGAATCACTCTGCGGACCGCATAATGGCCGCAAAGTGAGGCAGTTAATTGGGTCAGTTGAAAGCAATTATGCGGTCGACTATGCGACCGCATAACTGTTATGCGATGTACTATGCGACCGCAGAACAGTTATGTGGACCGCATAGTGACCGCAGACTCAGGCAGATTTTTGGTCATTTTGGACACCAATTATGCGACCGATATGCGGTCGCATATGCAACCGCAGAACCTGTTCCGGAGCTTCATTTTTGAATTTTTAAAACCCGACCCTATTTCGTTAAATACACTCTTTGGGTTATTTTTGAGGTATAATATGATATTTTAGAGTGAGAGAGAGTGCCCTAGAGTGAGAAGGTATTCCTCAATAATTGATTCTTCAATTCTTGCTCAAGTTTTGGAAGATTAAGGAGGGAAACTCACTAGGTCTTCATCCTAGAGGTAAGATTCTATACCCTAACCCTCAATTTCAAATTTTGTCTAGAAATGGGCAATAAGCAAGATAATTTCTGGGCAAGAGGGTTATTTATTTTACATGCATGTGTTATCAAAGGGTGTAGAAAGATTGTTGAGCTAAAAATGGTAAAGATTGGGTTGTGGGATGATGGAATCCTCCATAAAAGGACCTTGAACCTTAATCCACACTTAGTGTTTGACGAAATGCTAAAATAAGCTGAGACCATGAATATCTTCCTAATTATGGTTCAATTTTGTTATGTCTCAAATAGATTGGGATTGCTAAAATTTCTGGAATATTATAGTAATTTAAGAAAAGCTCAATTAAGGTATGTTGGCTAAATTTTCTCTCTTGGAATTGAATTCCATAATATTTATGTGAGTTTCAAAGTATGGGTTGGGTATTAAAATGTGGTGGCTTGAATCGTATTTCAAATGAAAGTTAGTATGCCAAATTGTGTGAGAAAATCTCAATATTCTTAAGACTCTTAATTGCTCATATGTGTACCTAAATTCTTGATTGGGAATGTCTTATTGTTTATAACCTATAAAGATGGTTGGAAGTAAAATCAGTAAATTGAGAATATAAAGTGTGACCAACGTGCCAATAGTGAAAGTTATACTTGTGACCAATGGTGCCAATGAAATGAAATAATGTGAGAAAGATTATGAAATGAGTTTTGACTCAACTATTTCAAAATTGACTTCGACAATATAATCGGCTAAAATTTTATGAACTCAAGTGATGCCCATATGCGGTTGTTATAGCTAATGCTATGCTTTATAAGTAATTTTCAATGTGTTTTGCGTTCTTACATATTCGTGAGTGGAAATTGTGTATGATTTTATCTTGTACTTCAATTGCCAATCATTTTACTCCATTTATTGGAAAGAAATCGATTGTGTTTAAAGCCTTCATTACTAATGAATTTAAAGTTGTGATTTCTGGAATATTCTATTTGTTGATAATTATGATGATGATCTATGAAAGGAAAGAAATAAAAGTGTGGAATATGAAATACGGCTATTGCGCCATGAACAAAGGATCATATGAATGGACAAGAGATCCAATGAAATAATAATGGTGTAAGTTGTTGAAAGTACGGATTAGGTGATATGTGGTGTGAAAGGTTATGAGATGTACGTATTTGTACTTTTGTTTCCAATGTGTTATGAAACCCTATGGACGGTCTATGAAACGCATATGTATATTGTGTTATGAAACCCTGTGGACGGTCTATGAAACACATAGGTATATTGTGTTATGAAATCCTGTGGACAGTCTATGAAACGCATAGGTACATCATGTTATGAAGTACATTGTGTTATGAAATCCTGTGGATGGTCTATAAAATACATAGGTACATTGTGTTATGAAATCCTGTGGACGGTCTATGAACGCATAGGTACATTGTGATATGAAATCCTGTGGACGGTCTATGAACGCATAAGTACATTGTGTTATAAAATTCATTGTGATATGAAATCCTGTGGACGGTCTATGAAACGCATAGGTGCATTGTGTATAAGAGGTATAGATGTGCGGTATGAATAAACACTATGGACGGTCTATGAAATGCATAAGTGTATAATATGATATGTGAACACTAAGGACGGTCTAATGAGTCACATTATTAATGCAGGCAATAGGTGCCCCTTTTGTTGTCTTTGTTTGTACAGGTTGTTTCAATTACATTATATTATGTGTTCTACGTATAGATCATATGGGCATTCTATTTTGAAAGAGGATTTCTAGCTATACATACTAGTGCTATTCGACAGTACTAACGTCCCTTTTGTCGGGGGCACTGCATCTTTAATGGATGCAGGTGATTCTACAGCAGGTGACATTGATCAGTGATAGCAGTACACTCCTTTCAGCTGATTTGGTGAGCCCCACTTCATTTCGAGATCATGTATCTTTTGTTTCTCATGTACTTTGTGGTTGAAGTATAGCCGGGGCCTTGTTGCCGACATTTCCATATTACTCTTCTGTTGTACTTAGAGGCTCCGTAGACAGGTTGTGGGTGATATTTGATATTGGGAATTGGATTAGAACTGTTGGTATTTGGCAACATATTTTTCATTAAATCTATAAACTCGTCCTATTTTGGAAATATTGAATGATACTGTTAATGGGAATGAAATGGAAGCGGTTAATGAAATCTCTTTAGTATTTGATTAACGGAGTACGTCTCCTCTTTATTCACGAATGATTTTGGGTAGAATGAAATCTAACAGGCTTGCTCAGTCGGATTCACTCGGTTGAGCTTCGGCCGCGCTTCTCGGTTTTGGGGCGTGACAGATACGAAGGTGGAATTCCAAATAAAATCTCGAAGTGGCTTTTGAGCTTAAGAACCTTGGAAGGGAACCTATTGATGAGATATGTGGCTATTAGAAAATATTCTCCCCAAAAAATAATAGAAAGTTTTGATTGATAGAATAGAGCCCTACAAGTCTCCAAAAGATGCTTATGTTTCCTCTCAACAACACCATACACAAGTTGTTTGGTGTATTATACCTTGAGAGAAAAGAAAATATGAAGTCTGCAAGCTGTTTTCAAGCTCTAAAGCATTGTCTAATCTTATTATTTTTACTTTTTTGTTATGTTGTCTTTCAACCATGGCCAAAATATACTTGAGAATCGTAAAAGCATTGGATTTGGTACTTAGGAGAAAAGTCCAAGTTGCTCTATTGAAATCATCAATAAAGATCAAGAAATATTTGTATCCATCATATGTAGGTTCTTTATAGGGACCCCAAGTGTCAATGTGAATTAGGTAAAATATNATATCTCACTGTGATCAAGTAAAGTAGAAGAAGGCAGACAAGAAATGGTAGAAATATTTCTCATATTAGCAAAAGGCAAATGCCCCAATCGATTGTGCCATAGGCTTACATCATTTGAAATAACTGCTAAACATAAAACCGGATCTAAAGATTGATTACTAGTTCTATTACAGTTGAAAAGAAATGGACCGAAGTCATTGATTCTACTAGATAGACTGGCACTAGGCTTGATAGAGTGGAGTAGATATATCACTTTCTTTTGTTTACAAGAACCACTGGCATGTTCATTGAAGGGGCCTGCAAGATTGCACCAAAAGCAGAAAAAATGAGCAAAGAGTAAGCCTACTGACAGAACCTGTGAACTGATAAAGATTATATTTGAAACTAGGAAGATATAACACATTGGACATAAGACAATTAGGCAGGATATACTCACTGCTAGCTTGTGTGACCATGACTCTTTGAGAATTAGGCAAGTTGACAACAACGGGTTTAGTAAGAGTTCTAAAATATATTAAAAGACTAAAATCATAGGTCATATGTTCTGAAGCACCTGTACCTAATATCCAAATAACTAAGTGTGAAGAAGGAGATAGGCAATGTTTATGTATAACACCACAATTGGTAGTGATATTGACCTTAGAGTTCATCTCTCCATGAGGTGCAAATTTTACCTGTTGGAGCAGCTGGCATAGATTGTTATACTGCTTGTAAGTGTTGTTTTTTTCCTGTTGTGTTGAATGATAGATTTACACCATCATCTGTTGTGACTGCTGCGTTTTCATGAACACCATTTCCTTTTTTTAAACTTCTTGTTCTTGGTAAATTTGAAATCTGATGGGAGTCTAATAATCCTATAGCACCTTTAAGCAGTATGTCCTGGCTTTTTACAGTAGGAACATATGAGATTGTTCCTCTTTCCTTCAAAGTGTCCTTTCTTCTCTATGTTAGGTAGCCTCTGACCACCATACTGTGGTTTTGCAGCCATTAAAGCAGTTTCAATAGGGTGCTGAGCAACCTATATTTTCCTTTGTTTCTCATCCTGAATCAGGAGTGAATAAGCATGGTTGATGCTAGGCAAAGGAGATGCCATCAAAATATTTCTCTTTACACCTAAGTAGGTCTCATTCAGTCCCATAAGAAATTGAATGAGCCTGTCATCTTGATGATATTTGAGGATCCTGCTCTTCCCTCCACAGATGCAGCCACAAGTACAATGAATGCATGTATCAAGACTGTCCAACTCATCCCAAATTTTTTTCACCTTGGTATAGTAACCTGCTATGTCTGAACTGCCTATGGACTAAATCACTGAGTTCGTTTTGCAGATGATAGAGCATAGCATCATTGCTTTGCCCAAATCTATCTTCTAACTCCTTCCAGATATCTCTAGCAGTTTTGGAGTAGTAGTACACTTTCAGCTATTTATTTCAAAAGAGAACTGAGCAACCAGGAAATGACCATGTCATTATATCTATTCCAGGCTCTAAAATATGGAGAATATCTGAGTGGTTCAATGATGGATCCATCGATGAATCCTAACTTATTTTTGACTGCAAGTATTTGGAAGACAGCCTTTCGTCAACCTCCATAGCTTTTACCATCAAAGATAGAATTGACAAGAATCATTCCAGGTAAATCGGAGGGATGAAGTTAAAAAGGGTGTGTTGAGTCGTTGTTGACAATGGTTTGGGATGCTTGATTGATTGATGGAGAATCACCTATAGAGGAGATGACTGGATATGTAATCGTCATTGGAGAGAAAGGCTAAAAAAGAACTTGAAGAAGAAAAACAGTGTGGATCGAGTAATTAAATCTCTGATACCATATTAAAATTTAGAGAAGTTTTGTATGAAATTTTCTTCTTGTGTATTTTATCAGCAAACTGTACACCTATATATACAAATCTAAGAATAAAAATCTGTTTTGCACCTAGCACGTGTCTTACTGCTATTCCCTAAAATATAACTAACTGATGGAATCAAAGAATATACAAGAAATATTTTATACATATAGTCACTATACATGGTAAAAGAAAGTTACATAATTGTTATCCTTTACTTGCCACCTGTCCTCTTTTACCCAAAATCAATGGTCTTGAATTAATCTCTGTGAAACTTAATGGATGGTTCAGATTATCTTTGTGTAACGACCCAGCCGGTCGTTTTGAGTATTATAGTCTCGTTCCCTAATTTATTACTTATTCTATACTCATTTATTATTATGTGACTTGCCGGGGTGGTTAGTTGGGTTCCAGAGATATTTCGGAATGAGTTGGGACATTTAGTCCCAAGGTTGGAAGCCTAAGTTGAAAGAGTTGACTGAATATTGAATTATATGTAAATGACTCCAAGATAGAGTTTTGATGGTTCTGATAGCTCCGTATGGTGATTTTGAACTTAGGAGTGTGTTCGAATATTGATTTGGAGGTCCGTAGGTGATTTTTGGCTTGAATTGGCGAAAGTTGAAAAAATTAAAGTTTGGAGAGTTGAGAAGTTTGACCGAGAGTTGACTTTGTGGTTACCGGACTTGGATTTTGATTCCGGAAGTTTGAATAGGTCCGTTGTGTCATTTATGACTTATCTGCAAAATTTGATATCAATCAGAGTTGGTTTGATAGTTTCTACATCAATTGTAGAAGTTAAAAATTCATTAGTTTCAATAGGCTTAAATTAGGGTGCGATTCATGTTTTTGATATTGTTTGACGTGATTTGAGGGTTCGACTAAGTTCGTATCGTGTGTTAGGACTTGTTGGTATGTTTGGATGGGATCTCGGGGGCCTCGGGTGAGATTCGGATTGAAAACGGATTGGAACTTGGACTTGGAGAGTTGCTGTTGCTCCTGAAGTCTGGTGGCATCGCACCTACGGAGGGAGTGGCCGCAGGTGCAGTCGCGCAGGTGCGGTGGGTTCGTCGCAGGTGCAAGATTTATGGTGATGGATTGGGAGTGCAGGTGCGAGGAGTATTCCACACCTGTGAGGTCACAAATGCGGAGAAAAGGTAGCAGATGCAGAATTTGCCAAGAAGGCCTGGGGGTGCAGAAGCAGACGGTCCACAGATGTGTGTGCGCAGAAGCGCTTGTGGCCCGCAGAAGTGGAAGCGCAAGTGCGCCATTTGGACCGCAGAAGCAGAGACTGTTGTCTTGAGTTGAAGCCGCATCTGCGATGGATTTTTCACAAGTGCGGAGCCGCAGAAGCGGTTGTTGGTCCGCATAAGTGAAAATTGCTGGGCAGAAATAGAAGTTCGAGGGTTCTTCATTCATTTTTCATCTTTTCACCTAGAGAGCTCGGTTTGTGGCGATTACTTGAGGAATTTTCAAGAAAATCATCGGGGTAAGTGATTCTAACTCGAATTTGGCTATTATACATGAATCCATAGTTATTTTTGTCGTTTAATTAGTGATTTGAGTTGGAAAATTTGGGAAACAATGGCGAAACTTCTTAGGCTGAATTTTGAGGATTTGAAAGGCGATTTGAGGTCGGATTTAAATAATTTTAGTATGGTTGGACTCACCATTGAATGGGTATTCGAATTTTATAAATTTTGTTGGATTCCGAGACGTGTGCTCGGGTTTGACTTTTGGGTTGAATTTTTGACTTTAGTTAAAGATCTTAGTTTTATCATTTAGAGTCAATTTCTATAGGTTTTATTGATAGTATTACGTTACTTTTGGCTAGATTCGAGCCTTTCGGAGGTCGATACGCGTGGGAAGGGCTTGCTAGCGGAGTGATTTGATTTGTTTGAGGTAAGTATCTTATTTAAACTCGGTTGAGGCACTAGTTGCCTGAATTGCTGTTATAGCTACGTTCTATTGGGTGCGCACATATGTGGGGATGAACCTATGTGCAGGCACCGGGATAAATTTATTCATGTTCAGATTGTGCTCGGGCTCTTATAAGCCTGGAATTTGATTGTTAAACCTTAAGCTATGATGCTTCGTACATTTGTGACATTGTTGTGAACTATTTGAGGCATGATTAATGTTACATAGGGGCTTAATCCTTGAATGAACTGATAAATGTTATTCTTTACTGAAATTACCGGTTTAAGCTATGATAGTACACTTGCACATGCCTACACTTTAGCATGTCGTTTATACTAGTCCAGGAGCATGAGATTTGATATTCACTTATTTCATACATGTATACTTGTTTAATTGCTCCTGCATGATATGTTTGGACCGGTATGCCTGTGACCATGCCGGGCGGATTGTGTTGATATGCATGTGACTACGCCGGGCGGATTGTACTGTTATGCCTGTGACCACGCTGAGCGAGTTATGATATTGAGCCTGTGATCACGCCGGGCTGGCAGTACGTTGAATTGGCCGTGCTTGCGTGTGGATATGGATCCATCCCCCTAGGATCACCCTCTCATGTTTCTCCTTGATGGTGTACACGCGGATATGGGAAATACTGATCAGTGGTTTGGAACGGATATGTAAAAGTGAGGGAATCTGGCCAGCGTGTTGTTGGATTTTGCATTTCATCTTTACTTGCAATTTTCTTGATCATTTATCTGATTTAACTGCATATCATCTCTATATGCCAATATATTGTCTGAGCGGAGTATTTTAAAAATTGTACACATACACACACGGATGTTTTCTTACTAAACTTGATGATTTGATTTCAATATTGTTCTATACCGGAATTAAAGATGAAACTACATAGGTGATAACTAGTATCATTAATAATGTGTGCTTTTCTTTACCTTGCCGTGTTTATTTACGATACTTATTAAGTACATTGGGTCGGTTGTACTCATACTATACTCTGCACTTAATTATACAGATCCTGGTGTGGGGACCAGTTATCAGCAGTAGGTTCCTTTTAAGACTATCTGCTAGAGGCGAGATAGAGATGTATCCTTGGTCGCAGTTTGACTTGTCTTTTCCTTTCATATTGTTGTTATAGTTCAGACAATGTATTTATTGCTCAGTTTCAGACTTGTATTCCGTTGTAGTAGCTCATGTCTTCGTACTTGCCAGNGGGGGTTACATTGTATTAGCAGTTTTATTGTATTGAGACCTCAGGTTTATGTTATTTCTATGAATTTTATTATTATATTGCCTTCGTTATCATGTTTCGACTTGCCTAGTCGGTGTGTTAGGCGCCATCACGACGGATTGAGATTTTGGGTCGTAACACTTTGACCTTTGGAGATAAAATTGTCTAAAGCTTATTGTTTGCATTGACATTTAGGTTTAGTTCAATTTGTTTATCTTCCTCCTCCTTCATCTGCCCGCTAAGCATCATTTTTGTAGAACCTTTAATAAATGCAGGTCCGACATAATAGAACTTTAGGATGCATTTTCATTTCTATTTTGGTTTAATTTTAAAATTTTTACCTTGATTAACGCTGCATATCACCCACTTGTTCTATAGAAAACTAAGTGTCTATCAATTAGTTCCAAGAAAGCGGCCAGGGTCTAACTAGAATTTGATTTCGATCTCGATATATTGGAGTTGGCCTCAAAAAAGCGATTGCCCTCGAAAGTCGTAGTCCTTTAATTACTTAGCCATCAATCAAAATTTGATAACGCTTTTGATCTTCGTCAAACATCAGACTTTTCTTTTTATTTTATTTTATAGAAATTACTTATATCCGAAGTAACTTTTCACAAGCACCACACCCCATACAATTACTTGGGGGTTGTTCGCCTTTTCATTCAAATAAATAAAGTAGCAGGGGCTTCACTTCTTGCTTTTCCTTCAATAAGTGATTGGTGGCAAAAGTTAACCTAATGTTAAACAATTCTTACCGAGAAGCTCACTCACATCTGTGTAGTTATCAAACCAATAAATAAAAAATATATATCTTATAAGAATTTATTATTAAATCATAACTAATAATATATATTATCACTTTAAAATTTGACTTCGAAATTAAAGTTGTTTTTCTAAAACAAGTAACTTCAAAAAATTGAATTGTTGGGTTTTTAGTGTAACCACCAAACATAGATATATAAGTAGTTTCCCAACCATGAGTAATGGTCATGCTAAATTGCAACTGATGTTGGCCGAGTAAGAAATTATTTAGTCAAAACGGATAGCACCAGTAATATTGTAAATTTGAGCCTTTTCTCTTGCTACTTTAAAAAAAATTCATACGAATCCATGGGTACGCCCCCTAGAATCGGGTTATATATACTAGTCTAACCAAATTAGCCGTGCGAGAGGGTGCTAGATAGTATACACTCTCATTGGTTGGCCTTAAGTTTTTAGGTATTTTCTTCCTTAAAATAAACTTATTATACATAAGGTAAAGGGAATACATTATGTGCAATCGAAATCACCTGCATGGTGGAGGTCTGAGTAGCCTATAAAGGACGAGCTACTCTGAATATCCTTAAGATTTTGAATTGGATGCTCAGATTACAACACATTTTAATTTATACATAAAACTTACATCTCAAATTTTAAAACTCTGAGTCTGTGACTCCTCTGTTACTGCAAAGAGAATCCATTAATTAACGCTAGAAATGTTCATGCATAAGAGCACACACTCAAGAGTGAATTATAAGCAATATTGACAAGGACAATTTGTCCTTATTCTACAACTATTAGCAATAAAAAGGGGAAAATTTGCAGTTATGCATACTATGTGGTTAACCGATATGATTACAAAAAATTAAGGAGTGCAGGATCGATGATCGCTTTTGGAATTTCGAAACTTTGCCCGAAAAAAGGAACAACTTTTAAAGTTTGGGTCTATTGTAACTTGTAAGCCAAACCCCACAAAATCTTTACTCACTGACTTGTAATTGTATGGGGTAAAATTGGTTTGTAATATATGATCGAATGGTAGCATGACACGTCGAATTGAAGTTAAGAAAAAGGCAAGTCAGGCAACGACCAATACCGGACACAACGAATGTAATCGACATCGGGAGGAGCATATTTAACGGGAGGAGATCAAGGGTTTGCCTTCGG